AGTTCAAAGCCAGGCTGAACTGCATAGTGAGACAGACAGACACACACAGAGACACACACACACACACATTAAAATAGGTGCTATAGGGGCTGGTGAGATGGCTCAGTGGTCTAAAGCACATACTTAGAACAAGCTTAGCAAAGCACAGGGACCACGGTTCAATCCCCCAGCACCACATGCCAGCCAGCCCCGCCCCCTGGTGGGCTGAGGTGGCCACACACACACACATAAATAAATAAAATAAATAAATTAAAAAAAAAAAAGGGCAAGGAGCCAGGCATGGTGGTACATACCTGTCATCTCTGTGCTCTGGGAGGCTGAGTCAGGAGGATCACAAGTTTGAGCTCAAGTCTGGGCAACTTGGTGACTTCGCAAGACCCTGTCTCAAACAATAAAGGGCTAGAGGTGATAGCCCAGTGTAAAGGCCCAGGGATCAGTTCTCAGAACCACTGAGAAAATGGAAAGGCTGGGGATGTAGCTTGTGGGTGGACACCCACCGAGCACTTGTGAGGCCCCAGGTTCCATCCCCAGTAGCAGGAAAAAAAAAACCACTTGCAGAGCCTTGCACAAGGGGAGAACAGATCGAGAGCAGTGGCAGCAGTTGCGGGGGTGGCTCGTGAATGGCGGGAACTTGGGAAACTGATGGTCGTGGAGATGAGCTCCAGCACTCGCTTGTGTTCTTCCCAACGGATCCACATGGTTTTTGTTTCGCCTTTGGTTTAGGAGGAAGGAGTTTCTTGCCTGACTGGCTGCATTATCTGTTTGACTTTTTCAGACCTCGCCTCAGCTCTAACAACAGAGCCTTTGCGTTCTCAGAATATCATGACTTGAATCCCAGAGAAGCCAGTTGCCATTCACCGTCCCAAACCCAGAGAGCCAGCCCCGCACTGTAAACGGGAGCGCTGCAGACCTGGTTCTGCCAGCCGTGTCACCTGCAGCTCTGACCTGACTCACTGATGGCATCTCCTCAGCTGTAGACCAAGGGCAGTGGTGCGTGCCCACCTTCCTTCACAGGGCCAATGCCGGGCCTTTCCCCTCAGGAAGGACCCCGGAGCTTGCTTAGACTCCTGCAGGCAGTGATGTTCGCGACTGAAGGAGGACCCAGGCCTCCTGACTCCTGGCCTGGGCGTCTGTTCTGCACTTCACGCAGAACTGTCATTATGATCCCACTGATGTGAGGAAGATGAGACTGGGCACCTGGGGTCTTGGAGCCAGAGTGTAGACTGTGAGTTTTCACTTGGGAAAGGTGAGCCAGAGGTGTCTGGACATTTAATAAAACAGCTCGTGGATTATCTCATCACTCTTGCCCTTGAGTGTGTTGGTGAGAGCCAGGGAGACGGGGGAGGGGGTGGAAGGCGAGGCTCCATCCTCATCTCTGAACTCTCCATTAACCAATTAAAGGGTCTTAAAAGCTTCTCCAGGAGAGAGACTTAGGAAAGAAAATGATTTCTGAGTCAACGCTAATGACTCCAATTACTGAGTTTGTGAAAAGCTGTTCCCTGGCTTCTGGATATTAGCCCGAGTTCATAGCATAGATATGGTGGAGGGAAGGGGAAGGGAAAGACCGAGGACCAGCTCCTCCAGTGACTGCATGTGTGAAGAGCCCACTAGCATGGCCGGTACAGAGGAGGGAGGGTTTGTGGAAGACACTGCCCACATTCTCTCTACTGCCAGGCCCCCCCTCAACCAGTCTTGTAACCGTGCTTTCTATGCTTTTCTAACACCTCACTCACCTGTGGAGCCCCAGTGCCTCCCTGCCCCCTCCTGGGGTGCCCCACACACTGGCCTCACCCTTATCACCTCCCAAGATGGTCCTCCTTAGTAGCCGGAACCCCATCTTTGTTCTGCAGCAACTCAGCATCTAGCAGTGTTGTGTGCAGCGCAGGGGCTCAGTGCCATTTTAAGCCATGCAGTGCCCTATTCTCTCAGCCAAAAAACAAGGCTTCTGTGGTCAGATAAGTTTGGGAAACGCCGCACTAGACGTCCCCTTTTATAGATGCACCAAGCGCATCAGCACATTCTGGGTTCCAGGAAGTCCTGCAGTAAGAACACCGTTAACCCGGTGTGCACCTCACAGGCCGAGACAGAGCCCACCTCCTTCCCGGGCCCCCTGAGAAAGGCACCACCATCTCTCCTGGTGGCACCACACTTGGCAGTCTCCTCCCCATCTGGGGCACTTGGGGCCCTGATTCCTGCTTCCCTGGCCATCCCTGTGGCCTGGCCCACTCCACACAGTGGACCTGGCAGCCTGTGGTGACAGCCCTGTGCCACCTCCCTCCCACTCAGCCACTGCAGGTTAGCAGAGGCCTCCATCTGGGAGCCTGAAGTAGAGCAGGGTGTTCAGGCTCTCCAAGCTGAGGCGGCTTCCCCTGGTGGAGAGGGAAGGGAGCAAGCTGAGGAAGAGATGGCGTTAGGGACCAAAACCCATAGCTGTGCAGTCACTGTGGTTCTACTTCAGCCCCAGGAGAATGGCTCCATGGGCAGAGTGGGCAGCCTGGGAACTGCTGTGCTTCTGCCATTAAAATTCCTTTATTAACAACTTATCTCCAGTACCCTGAGGGGAGATGTGGGTGGAGGACAGGAGGTGGCCCACATCAGGCCGGCCTGTCTCAAAATTCCAGTGTGCCTAAGGATCAGGGACTGGGGCCCTTGTTCCTGAGCTCTTGAGTGAAGCTCTGCTGTCTCAGTTTCCCTACCTGGGGATGTTCTTTCCAGGGACCCCTGAAGCTAGGGTGGGAACAAGGCCATTTGATTCATTAGATCTTCCAAGCCAGTACAGCGCAGGGCACTTAGCAGCTCTTCAGGAATGAATTACTCGACAAATGAGAGTATTTGTACCGCATCTCCACCCAGTGCCTAGTACACACCTGCCCAGGACATAGTAAGCACTTTAACAGTTGAATGGATGAATGAATGACTCAAAGACCCCTCCCCCTTCCCCCAACCATTCATCCTTGTACTTTCTGGCACTTAGCAATTGTTCAATAAATAATAAACACAAAACGTTTGTTGAATGAATGTTTATAATCATGCCCTTCTGTTACATCAATAACTAGCAGGGGCTGGAAGCCCCTGACCTATTTTCTAGGTGCGCACTGTGTGCCAGGCTGAACCTGTGCTAAGATGTCCTCCTCCCTCTTCTTGTCTTTTTGGGATTTGGTTCTGTCTGGAGCCCCAAAGGTAGTAGATGCCATTTCACTCTTGTCTCAGCCAAAGAAAGGTAGGGTCAGTCAGCTGCCAAGCTGAAGCTGGGTGACAGACAAGGAAGCTGCCTGTCAGTCTCCGAGCTGCCCCAGGCTGGGAGTGAGCTCCGCATTGCACTACGGGTGCTGCAGAACGGCTGACTATCGATAAAAAATGTCCCTCTGTGCTTTCCAAATTAAGACGACATTTAACTGAGTGCTTGCTGGCTTGCCTGCTCTCTCAAATCTCCCAGGAGACAGAGCCCATCTTGGTGGAAACTGTTTTGAACATGTCCAAACTCTCAGCTTTGACATCTTGGCTGATGTCAAGAAGTTTCTGTAACCTTCCTGTTCAGCACACCCAGTTCTGTCACCATATGTACTGTCTCGTTCTCAGCCTGTTACCGGGAATCGTGCTGGTGTCAGTGTAGGGGGGGTGCACACAGTGCGGAGAAGAGCTCCAACCCTTCCATCAGAGCCCCTGCCCCGACTGATGATCACTGGCCTCCATCCAGGGCAGCTCTGCACAGCAAGGTTCCCCAGGGAAGGGAGGCAAGGATTGACTGCAGTGGCCCTAAATCTTCCCACATAGACCCCTGTGAGAAAGTGGTGAAAGCATCTACTCTTCCCAAAGAGAAACACAAAGTCCTCCCAACTTTGCAGGCAGTTCAGCAGACTCATAGATCCGGAAGCCCAACTGAGGACCCCAAGTTAGTAACCCTTGATGCATCAGAACAATGTTCTAAATCCCACCATCCACATCCCAGCTCTGCCACAAACCTGCCAAGTGGCATTGAACACATCTGCCATTTCCTTCTTTATCTTTGGCCATAAAATGAAGATTTCAAATAGCTAAACCTCAGATTCCTTTTACTACAATGACCCACATCTGTGGAAGTATAAATGATGTCCTAGAGCAGTGATGATAACCTTTTACTAGTCACATGTTCCCTTGGGACTCATGAGAACTTTGTGCCCTTTGTGTAGAAAACTATATATACACAAAGTTGTACTTGGCATTTGGGGAGTTCAGGGACTGTAGTTCCAGGACTTGAGCAGGTCCTGCAGTGGTCCTGTGTAGCCAGTGACCCAGCTGCAGCCATGGTCCCACGCCCTCTACTACGACCCTTCTCTCCACCCTTAGACTCAGCTCTGCATTGCAAGTCCACTAATAGTGGGTCAGCATGGGCCACTTGAATTACTGTCGTGATCCACTTTAGTATGGTAGTTTTCAGACTTCACTTTTATATAATGGGACGACTTTTTCCCAGTGTAGTCCTACCTGGAGCTTCAGTACAGATGCCAGGGCATTCTGCCACCTCTGCTTACACATTTATTCATTTACACAGCTATTCCACAGATGTCAGCAAATGCCATTCTGTGCAAGGTGTCTGCCTGATCGGGCCGGAGACCCCGCCTGCTTGGTTTCCCTTAGCCTTTCTCAGGACCTGTAGAACCCCGCCTTATGAACCAGCTTCCGTCCAGGACAACTCCACCATACTGATGAGCTATGATCACTTGGAAATTTCCAGGAAAGTTACAAGGCTGAGCCTTGGGAACGTATTTGCTGCTTATTTCATTGCCCCTTCCCTGGAAGGCTGGCTGCTGTCAGTGTCAATTTCCTAGACCCAGTTCATGTACTGTTCTTGGGGGCCTGGGTTCCCAGGACCAACCTGCTATAACCTAGGAAGATTTATTTGCAAACTGCGTTTGGGAATGACTTCTGCCCTGAAAGGACTATGCTCTGGGAAGTGCAGGGCCCTGCAGCAGGTCAGATCCAGGTTCCTGCACCCTGTGCTTTACAAGTACAGAGTTCTGTGACCTTGAGTGGCTTTGGGAACGTTGAACCGCATTCCTGAAGGGAGCTCAGCAAGTCCACCACTTTCCCTGTTAAAAACTCACCCCTGGGGCTTTTCTATTTCTGTTCCTTGTCTGGCAGTCGAGTGCCAAGGTTGAGGGCATAGGTTTTGGTGCCAGGCCAGCCTGGGTCCAAATCCTAGTGCTGCGTCTAGTCTCTGCTCAGTCCTGGGAGTGACACTCAACTTTTCCAAGCTTCATTTGCTTGTCTGTGAAGTGGGGATTAGAATACTTGCCTCCTATGATTATGGGAGAATCAAGTTTAATCTTACTGTAAGACCTCGTGCTTGGCTAATATAAATGTAGAACACTGATAGGAGCTTTTGTAGTCCTGGTTTTCCAGCTGAGAAGCAGATTACTTGATAGCAGGAGTGGGGTCAAGAACACACACGTCCATCATCCACATGCCCCACTCCCATCCAGCCCAGGATGGAATAACAGCTCTCCCTCTGTTACAGTTTCTTCCTCCCTCTCAACAGGTGCAAATGGGAATGAGCGGCTGTTTTTCTTTTATTTGTAGGACAGAGAGCATTGCTTGGTGTCCCCAGAAGCTAGTCCTTTGCTTCCCGTATCCAGCAAAGCCACCTTCCCGGCTTGTGATCCTCTGCAGCATCTGTCTCTACAGATGACCAGTGTGGTGTGTGTCTGGCCAGCAAACACTTCTGCATGCTGTCCATGGTCTCCAGAGACTTCCCAGGGCACCTTCCAAGGGGCCACTCTGCTCAGTCGGTTAACTGGGAGTCCCAGGTTCCTGCCGCCTCTGTTGGCCGGCAGCAGTCACCCTGAGGTTCTGGGGCCAGCTCTGGCCCAGTTTCAAGATTTTCAGAAAACAGCTCATGTCCCCCTGATCCTCAGGACCTGCGCTCTCCAGCATGTCCCAGGAGCTTCCTTCCTGCATCCAGAGACATCCAGAGGCCTCTGGCTGTGCTCACAGGTACCTGCTGTCACCACTTCCACTCCTGTCCTCAGCCCACTTCTTTCTACCTGGGCCTCCCAGCACCTCTGTCCCTGAGGCCACACTGGTGGCCAGGTCCAGACTGAGGGTCCTGCCACAGACAGAGAGCCGTCGCAGCGCCTCGGAGGCGGCCTCCACAGGCACCTCAGAGCGCTGCTCCAGCAGCATCTCCAGCAGCGAGCTCATCTCTGAGAGGAAGGTGCTGGCCAGCTGTGTGCCCACAGGGCTTAGCTCAGGAGCTGCTACCTTGCCGAAGGTCTGGAAGGTCCTCGGCTCCTCTGAGACTGCAGCATCTGGGGATATCACATTATCTCGGTAATTCGTGGTGAGTGGCAGAGAAAGTCTTGCCATCCAGGCTGGGTCCGGGGAGCTGAGCCTGTCCAGGGCCAGGCCTGTGGGGGACAGAGGGACACAGTGAGGGCCCCGCCACAGGGAAGGGCCAGGCAGGGAGGGCAAAGGAAGGGGACAAAGGAGGGAAAGGAAATGGCAGAGGACAGAGAGGGTGGTGAGGCGGAGACAGGAAGAAGAGGCCCTGACAGGGAAGCTTGCTGGCAGGAAGGCTCCGACAAAGTGACAAAGCACCAAAGTGCCTGGAGGGATCAGGCAGGAGGCAGTGGCAGGAGGACACTGAATTAAGGAATTCCTCAGTGTGTCTACAGAGCTTCCCTGTTCACAGTGGATTCGGGCCTAGGTGTCTTCCCTTCACTTGAGAAGGCTCACGCCTTGGAGAAGCTTCTCCCCCTTGGTACCTGCTGAAGCCTGGGGTGTGGATCCCCTTTCTTAGTCAAAGTCCGGGCTCCTGGCTTGGCACCACCTTCTGTTCATACCCATCACACACTGACCATTCACTAGGCACTCGTGTGTCAGACCACTTACATCATATCTCATGTAAGGTCTGCACAGGCCTTTGAGGTCAAGAGCATCCTCTCCATTGTGCGGATGAGGAAACTGAATGCCAAAGCGGTTCAGTCACTCATCTGCTAGGCAAGCAAGATGGATTTGACCCGCAACACAGTAGCTCTGCAGCCACTGGGTCTGTACTTTCAGCTCACTCTCGGAAGAGCTTTCTCCCTCCCTGGGAGACTCCCTGGCCTGCGAG